TCAATAAATCAAAGAACAAGAAATTTTAGAATTGTTGAGACTTTGTGTTAACACATTTTGAAGTAATTTTCTATATGTCAGAATCAAGATTGGGACTGTAATCACAAGAAAAGAAATTACTACGAACAAGAACAAAAAAACTGGATGACGAACATCTCACGTTAATAAGTACCTGTAGGTAGTTTATTAACATCCTCACTTGATTTTTTTTTTCTGCACGTTCTTAATGTGTGGTTTCTATTTGAAAAACCATCATTAGTTTCATTTGATTAGAATCAATCAAACAGCGAATCTTTGTTCAATATTATTATTTAATCACATTTAGTTCATTATTTTCTTGATTGCTTAATCAATTTCAAAAACATCTTATATCATGTCTATGCTCATATTCTTCATTATTATCGTACTCAAAAGTAGTCGATCTATTTGATGGACGACTTTTTACTTTTACTCTCTAGCAACTCAAACAATCATCATCAAAAAGGAGATTCGATTCAAATACAATAGATGTTGTCAAACAACGTTTAACTTTATTGAAATTTACAATAAATGAAGATATATTTTATAATATAGTAGAATAATTAATTCAATCAAAACATGTTATATTCTCAATTTCAATATCTGATACGCAACGGGTGCCAATTAAAAAACAAAAATGATGAAAATATCAAATTCATTTATTGATAATTATTTAAAACCAGTACTTCAACAAATAATCAATGGACATTCGACTTTATCGATCCTGATGACAATTCTTCAGCTCGATATGAAGGTATAATTCTTTTTCTTTAGATATGTCAGATATCTAAATATATATGTTTTATTTCATAGGAAAATATCCTTAGCATGTATAAAAAGTGGTATATTTTACAATCTATTCTTATTTTTTGAGGTTGGTGATGAGATAAGTCGTGTAGGAAATAGGGTGTGGCTATGACTGTGAAAGTAGAACGACACCCACACCCTCAAACAAAAATATGTATTTATATAGTTTGTTTATGGTTAATTAATAGCTAATCGAATGTTGAAATAATTAACACTTGATACACTATCATGATGAGGATCTTCTAGTAATATCTTTTCCAAAACAATTTCTTTTATTCGAACTTTATCTTCACTTTAAAACAAAAATAAAAGAAAATAGAAATTTAAATAAATAAAAAAAAAAAAATGTTTTTTACCAGTAATAGTCATAACTCTTTCTGGCATAACAGATTTGGATGTAATGGTAAGTGAAGCATTAGTATCTTGTTTTATATTTTCAATAGTTGAACCACTTTTTCCAATAAATAATTCCAGCTCTTGCATTTGGAATAATTTACTTAATTTGACTTGATCGTATAAGATCACTTGGAAAACTTTCTTTTAACTGTATCAAATGAAAATTCATAAGCAGATAATACATTTGTAGTTGTTCCAACAACAAGATAAACACGTTCTTCTGTTCCAGGAAAATAATTCTTTTAATTTAATTCAATATTAACTTAATTTTAAATTGAAAAAACTAAAAACTTACTCCTACTTTAGACATTTTCATTTTCGTATTTGTTTCTTTTTGTAGTGAAGCAGTTTTTTCTCCACCTTTTCCAATAACAGGGTGTGAGTGTGGGTGTTGTTCTTATTTTCAAACACATCCACACCCTTCAGAAAAGCGACAACTAAATTTTAATGATCTTATCGTTTTAAATATTTCAAATCTTGGCACCGAAACAACTGTAACAAATTGTGATTTTTTGGGAAGGCATTTTTGTAAACAAATGAAATATCAACACTCAAGGATAGAAAAAGAAATTTCTTCTGTGTACTCTTGAATATTTCATTTTTTGCATTTGAATAAATATTTTGTAATTTTGCGTTCTTGAGGTCATTGCAACAGAAAATATAGGCTTTCGATGTCTATGTCTAGAAATTAAAATGAACGACAACCTTATTGAGAAATATGGTGACCATATTTCAGTAGAAGTCTAATATAAATATATATCGACATGTCTTATTTACGATTTTCCTTGAAAATTCAATCAGCATATAGAAAAATATCTAATGAGCAAAGATCAAGTTTGAACAAAACAAGTGCGTCTTCATTATCATTTTATCGTGCATAAAATGAAATATCAATGAAAATTCATTGAAATCCAATGTTTTTAACAGAGAACGCCACAGGATGCATGTTCTCAAGAATCTGCAATATTCTGCAGTGCACGATGCAAAACATGTTGGATACCCATGTCACCTAACTGACCGTGATTCCATGAAGCTCTAATCTAGTAATAAAATTCTTGGTGATTTTCGATTATTCTCAATATAATTAAGCAGAGTAGCTGCGATACTAGCAAATAGGACTTAGGTAAAAAGAATATTTAGCTTCACTGGATTGACATTTACACTAAGACGTACGTATTTATTAAGAAGTAGAACTGATCAGATATTTTTTATTCACTCATAGAATAAATTGAAGAAAAATCAATAAAAAAATAATTTATGTGTTCTCTTTATTCATCTGTGATATATTGATAACATGTTGAATCCTATATATTTATTTGTTTTATTAGTGTTTTGTTCACAGTATGTATGTCAATTATTTGTTTTTATTGTTCTTTTCACTTGTGTTGTAAAGCATGTCATAAGGATTAATTAAATGTCTATATTGTCAATGATTTTTGTCCGAATAGTACGTTTATAGTATTTTATATCATACATAATACACAAGCAACTTGTTTTCTTTGTCAGAAATACAATATAAAGATTGTCATTCATTTCGAATACAAGAGAGTGTCTGTCCTGTCTCCTACAGAACTCAATCGTTGAAGGATAATGTCATCATAATATAGGGCACGACAAAGAAAACGATCTTTTGACGTTTTCTTGTTTCTAAACGTTCTAGATAACTTACTTCTTTTCCTAGAATAATCAAGTATCAATATTGTTGGATTCTTGAATTGATTAATAATGAAATCATTGAAATAAATAAATGTTTTCAATTCATTAAAACTTTTTTCAAATCGGAATTTTTGTATATGAAGATTTCAATTTAATTGATAGATTCAATTAAGAGATTTTCAAATATAAAACAGTAAAAATCACAATCAGAAATCAATAGAATGTATCATTATCTCAATGTAATCCTGAAAATATTCATAATCTTTTAGACATAATCAACTCGAACTCAACTAAAATTTAAGATTATTATTAGAAAATGTTTCTTTTTTTCCGTATGCTTGTTTATCCTTCGTAAATATTGAATATTTTAATGCATATATTTCATCGTATAGAAAATACTTCTTGAACAAAATCACTTTATAAACATATATATCATTTTTCAATCTGCAAAATAATTTTTGACATGAAAATTTTCCTATATTGTTTCAAATAATGCTATAATCCTTTACATTTGTCCGTTCCTATGAATAATAATGTCCAAATTCAACAGTTCTCTACCGAACTTGATCATTAACTAAACAAACAAATTACAAAGATTTATTTATTATTAATAGATCATCAATATTCAGTATGATATATTTTATTTTATATGTTTAATTGAACATTGAATGAGACAAAGTTTTTCAAAAATACTTTTTT